TATATATATATATATAAAGATGGGCAGTGGAACAAGAATGGTCTAGACCCGTAGGTTAAATAAAGCGTTCATTTCGGAATCCCCTGTAGGTTACCCAGATCGACAAACATCTGATGAAGTCCGGAGAGTACCACGACCGAAACATTGTGATAAGAACAACAAAGATAAGGATAATAATCCACTTGTAAATAGTGTAAATAAAATACTACTTGTCTGTTATCCATTCTATGCTATGCATATATTTTACAGTGTAGTCATCTTAAAGGGCCCGCCAGCATAGTCGAGAAGGATGAAAGGTTTATTTTGGCGTGGTATAATGGTTAGCAAGCTTGTCTTTAGAACAGTTAGGACTGAGTAGTGAGTTCGATCCTGAGTGCTCCATAATTTCGGCCTGGTGCCATATCTAAGCTAATGTTTCGTGAATCACTATTAATCTGATATATTTGGATCCGTTGCTCTTGACATAAAAAGAGAAATAAAAAAGAAGAATAAACCGATCGAAACGTTGCCTACCAAATAACTATAACGAAAATAATAGTTTCAAAAATAAATTCGTCGAATACTGATCCATGATTTTACAAGACAAAAAACTGAATATTTGTGAGCCTTAGGCAATTTTCTGATATTCACCCCTATACACAGGTGGAAAAAAAAAGGAAACTCAATTTCTATGAAGTCTGCCGTCGTGAAAAGAACTTCAAGTCAGAAACACTTTGATCGCCCTCTGCATCACTTAAACCTAAACTATAAGCGTCATTGTCAAAGTATTTCAACCCATGCAAGGTAATAAAGCTATCTATGACGCGGGTGTGAATGAATACGAGGAGAAACATTATTCAGGAACGAGAAAAATAAAACAACACAAATTAAGAACACAGAAGATAACAACTGATATTGCATTTAAATTTTTGATGATCAAAGTTAAAAGCAACAAACCGGAAGAGAGTTCCACAAGCGAGAAGTGCGAGCAGAGAAGCTGTTGGCATAGAACTTGCTGTTACATGTATCCATTTCAACTAAAAATGATGAAACCTTGACGCCATTCTAGTACTGGGCTTAAATTCATAACGTCTAGCTACAACAGTTCATCAGAACAATTACCATGAAAATATTTATAGAAAAGGCCCAGGGAAGCTATGTTATGGCGATGGGAAAGTGACTGAAGCTGAGATGTCAAGTCAAGACCAATAACAGATTCTTCTTTGAATTTTGTCAAGAATCTCTAATTATATAGCAAGGGCACTAGACCAGATGTGGCAGCAATATTCAAGGCATAAACTTTAGGTTCACGGAAAACGTTAGCCTGAGAAGGCGAAAGGATTCATTCTCCTGGGGATTAGCATCAGCCATGCTGATGGAACGCAGAATGGGTCCTCTCAGATGATTTATAGAGGACATTGCGAACTATTAGACTGAGCCATAAGTCAATATAAATTATTCCTGTTTTTGCGACTCAGTTGTAACAACAAATCTAACATTCTAACTTGCAAATTATTTGAGGCCGTTAAGAGTAAATTTGAAGTACATTAACATACATTAGTCTTTGCATGGCAATGGCAGCGTACAACGTGTAGTAAAGCACAAATGTTGTTTTCTTCTATGTCCCTTTAGCTATAGGTTAAATAGTAAGATTTTTATCTTGTGAAATCATTGTTAATCTCAAAATCATTGTTGATGCAATATTCATTCGCAAAAATAAATGAATTATTCTTATAATCCAAAATGTATTTCGGCTTCATAAGGCATAAAAACAAATCAATTTTGGGAACTCGATTGGTCTGTTCTACGTCCCACCCGTTATATTCACCTGACCTTGCACCAACCGGTTATGACATTTTTTGATCGCTTCAAAACGCTTTGCCTGGGAAAGAAAAAAAAATCGTCAAAAATTTATTTACATCAAAACCTGTGTAATTTTATTCAACCGGTATCGATAATCTGCCTGATAAGTGTCAACAAGTTATTATAAATAATGGTTGATATATATTTGAATAAAATGCAACTGTACTTTATCAGTTCGAATTCCAGTCAGGTTGTGTTACAGTCACTTACGCGCAAATACCCTTTGGGTAAGTTATGAATCCATCTCATCTCCCTCCACCTATGGGTTGAATAGCAGGACAGACTGGGTTGGCAGCCAGTCTACCGGAGGAGAAAAAAAAGTCAGACTGCTGCGGGAAAATCTTATTCCTAGTCAGTTATGAATCGAGAGAGATATGGTGAATCGCTTAGTTCTAGCACAAGGTCGCAATTATGGGGTGACCAGTGAGGATGGAGCTCATTTTTCAGTCGGAATTGCTCTAGCGAACCAAGCTTGCTAACCATTATACCACTTCGAGGTGGCCTTAAATGATTTTCTAAGCGTAGCTTAAATGTATCACGAGGAATAATGATTGGATCACCCAGTGAAGATCGAAGATTCAGTGGTAATTGGTCTTGCGAGATAAGGTCGCTAACCATTACACTACGTTGTAGTGCTCAAAATCATTTTCTAAGCTTAGCTTAGATGTTGCACAAGGTCGAAAGTATAAAGTATCTAGCAAGGATCGCACTCACTATTCAGTCGTAATTGATCTAGCGATACAAACTCGCTAAACATTACACCAAGCTGGAATGCCCAAATCGAAAGAGATGTGATTACCCTAGTCCTAGGTATGACGATAAACTCCATCCGGCAGCAAGGCCTCTGATCGGGAGTTTTGGAGGAGCGTGGAACCACCTCTTAATTTCTGTTGTTCCCAGGTCCACCTTGACAGGGCGGTGGCACCTGTTAGGGTCCCAGCTATGGACAAAAAATGAACTGGGGTAAAAATATCAAAATATAAAAATACATTTGAAAAGTTATCAGCAATATATTTTCATAGTAAAACGAAAAATTTAACAGTAATATATTTTTGGGGAAAAAAAAATTTACCAAAGCTCAAATGAAAAAAAAATTCGCTATTAAATGACGCATAAAGATTTGATATACCGGATATTATTATCGGAAATTATTTATGACTCAACCTAATATGTGCTTGTACTGAATCCATTACATTTACTTAAGTGCTAATACCCTTGGGAATGGTATGAATCCTCTCCCCCCCCCCCCCAGTTATGGGTAAATAGCAGGACAGACCGGTTTCCTTGGATGACAACTGGTCTGCCTCAGAAAGAAATGGCAACCTATTGCGGAGAAGAAAAACCTGCCTCGTCAGTCATGTATCGAAAAATCCGTGTGTCACGCATGGCACATAACCGACTGACTATGTTATTAATAAAATGTATATTTTGAAAATCTTATCAATATCAGTTGATTAATAATAATAAAAAATAGTAATAGCAATAAGTCAGATCCATTATAATTACTTACATGCTAATACCATTGGGAAAAGGTATGAATCCTCTTCTTCTCCATTCAGCTAGGGGTAAATAGCAGGGCAGACCGGATTCTATAGCCTTGGATGGCAAGTGGTCTACTGCAGAAAGAAATGGTAACCTATTGTGGGAAAAAAATCTGCCTCGTCAGTCATGTATCGAAAGATACATGATCGCCTAAGCGCGTATCACGCATGGCACATAACTAACTGAAATTCACTTACGTACTAATACCCTTGGGAAAGGTATGAATTCTCTTCTTCTCCCATCCCCAGCTAGGGGTAAATAGCAAGACAGGCGGGGTTCTATAACCTTGGATGGCAACTAGTCTACTACAGAAAGAAATGGCAACCAACTGCGAGAAAAAAATCGAAAAATACATAATCGCCTAAGCGTGTAACACGCATGGCACATAACTGAAGTGTTTTTTAAATACACGTTACGGACATGTTTGACCTTGGTTCAAGAACTTCAGGTAGTAAAGCGCTCAGATCTTTCGTCGAGCTATTAAAATGAACTCCGACAAGCCTATCCTAAACTCTGTCTAAAGGGGCGTCATTCAAATATAGATTAGCTGACATTAATCGGTTTGAAATTCAAGTAATTCTCTTGAGAGATTCCCCAGCTGTCTGGTAACTGCCATTAACAATAAACTTGTCTGGGGTTATCGATGTTATTAAATGCAATAAATTGCATCAAGTTCAATGTTGAAGATGGTCACGTGGTTTATTTCGGTGACCGGCCATAGAGACAGACGTTATCTCATTCGAAGAGAATTGTATTACAAAAGGGGGAAATGTCATCTCGTTGTGCGTGAGCATAAAATTTCATTTTTGTTCGATTTTTGTTCGATTTTTTTTTTTTTTTTATTGAAATGGAGAAAAGTTCTAGCAATAAGATAAACTAATTACACATATGTTGAGTTGTAAACAGATTGGACTTCATTCGTTCAGTCTGGAAATGTAGCCATGTTTTCTTAAGATTCATCAAAATAAGGCATTTTCGTTTTTCTGTATTTATGAAGAAATTCTACTCGTTTCGATCGGATCTTGAACGAAGCAATTTTTTTTTTCCTTTCCTTCAACAATAAAATAAACCAATTACAACTCTGTTAAGTTATCAACTGGCTGAAATTCAATCGTTTGAAATAGCTCGAGGGTGCAGCCATGTTTTTTTTTTCTGAATTCCAACACAGTAAGTCACATCCGTTTTTCAGGATTTAAGAAATTTTATTCGTTTCGATCGGATCTTGAACTAAGAATTTTTTTTTTTTTTTTTCTAGTGGTTACATTTTTCTTGAAATGATTTGTTGCAATTTCGTTTTATGAAATTTTTTATTCATAGCATCGACTTTTGATTCGAGCGGTAACTGCAGGGGATGCATTTTGGTTAGCATCCAGCGTTCTCGTTAAAGCACCGAGGTACAAATGCAAATTTGTATGTTCAATGTAATATTTATATATTTAGTATATATCTACTTAAACATATGTATTCACTAAATACAACGTTTGTACTAATAAAGAATAATGTTCACGTCTTACGGCCACACCACGTTGAAACAACGGTTCTTGTACATCTTCAAAGTTAAGCAACGTCAGTACCGAGATGGGTAACCGCTTGGGAATACCAGGTGCTGTAAGTTTTGACGGCCATATCACATTGAAACACTGATTACCGTACGATCACCGAAGTTAAGCCACGTCAAGCTTGGTCAGTACCGAGATGGGTGACCACTTGGGAATAACATGTGCTGTAGGTTTTGATGTCCGGGTGGTATAAATGGCTTATAGACATATCACGCTGAAACACCGATTCCGGACGATCACCGAAGTTAAGCAACGTCGAGCTTGGTCAGTACCTAGATGGTTGACCACTTAGGAATACCAGATGCTGTAAGTTTTGATGTGCAGGTGGTGTCATGGATAATAATTCGTATTTGTTAATCAGAGATCCGAGTTCCAATTCCCGTTAGCTTCGTTATATTCAATGACGTTCAAATAGCTTTGGGAAATGTATAAATCCACCTCTTCTCCCCAAGTTATGGGTTAACTAGTAAAACTTGTACCACTAAATCATTATCCCGCCAGACACAAAATTCCTACAATCTAAAAATAATCTGGCTTTAAATAATCTGCAATAGGTTGATAAACCGTAGAAAATAAATCATTCAATCTATGAAATACTGATTAACTACACAGGCATGTCTGTTAGATTTATTTACATTTTATAGAATATAAATATATAGAAACCACAAAGTGGGGGATAAGTTTATATATTGATTGTAATATAAAATTGATCATTCACTATATATCTACGTTATAATTATACCAAATTCTGATTAGGTATGAATCCACCTCTTCTCCCCAGCTATGGGTTAATTAGTAAGATTTGTACCAATAAACCATTATTATCTCCACAAAAAAATTCTTACAATCTAAAATATTTTCTGGTTTCAAATAACCTGCAAAGGGTTGCTAAACCGTAAAAAACGAATGGATCAAATAAATATATCTTTTATACAAATCTGTATAAATAAAGGCGAATATCAGTATGTCACACTTTTTCAACTTTACTCCTAGAAGCCGTAGACGAATATATTATACCACTTTGGAACTAAGTCGACTCCATGAGCAAATTAAAAACATTTCGGGTCGGATCCAAACCCACAATCTTGAAATTTTAGATTCCCAACTTTTCATTACTGCAATTGTTTTCGGTGATTTTTGCGACGGATTTTTTTTGTACGATAACAATTTTTATATTTTGGAAATAAATTTGGGAATAGTTGAAATTGATTGCGAAATCCATCGAAACTTACTCACGAAATAAAATAATTGTTCATATGGAAAGTAAGGACCTACGTATTGTCTTTCAGTGACGGCAGAAGAATTATCGTTGAAACTTTAAAAGGTAAGTTTAAATATTAATGCAATACTTAAATGCCGCAATGAATTTTGAGTTCTTCCGTAGTCTATCGCATACAGCAGCAGTATGCCTCGCAAAAAGAAATCTCATCTCCGCCAACAGAGGACCAGATTGCATTCAAAAGAGTCAAAGCTGCAGCGAGAAAAAGAAAGTCCCGTGCAGATGAAAACCCAGCCACGAGAGATTTCAGTGCTGTGAATATGCAAAGACTTAGGGACTCTCAAACTTCTGAGCAAGCCGAAGGCCCAATTAAGAGTCCTCGGCAGGAGCTAGCTTAAGTACCGCCCGATAGGTCGGCTTTCAAGCTAGTAAGAAATAATCTTCAAATAGGTGACAATTAACGACATTCAGCATTTACGAAGCTTGATTGCTAAATAACCTATCTTACCGCGTGGCGTCGCTAATAGTGAAGATAAAGATATGTTTAATTGTGTACAAACAGACCGGCTGATTAGAATAAAAAGACTGGAATAGTTTTTTTTTTATATATATAATATTCAGTAATGAAAGACTTTCTTCTAGAATTCTAGAATAAGTAGTGTACAGAAGCTTCCTGGATATTTAATAAAATGGAATAAGGAAGTCTTGGATGAATTTTTCTCAAATCAAGAATAATCGTCCTAGTCCGACTATTAGAAACTCAAAAGTATTCAATAGTATATGAAGCGTGCATTTATCATCATCATCATCATCATCATCATCATCATCAATTCCATGATCTGATATGGTCGTAGGGTCGCCGCGCAGCTGAGCATCTAACCAACTGCCTTCACATATTTGAGTTGAATGCCGGAGTTTTATTCCTTCATGCATAGTGTGCCTTGAATAAAGTAGACCTGGCGGAGCCTATCACTTTCCAGGTCAAACCATAGCCAGTGTCCTCTAACATGAAGGCTCGTCTTGATAACGGACATGTGACCGTTGACGTCTCAGTAGCTCTCCTCTCGATGATGCCATGTCATCACCGCACTACCTACATACATTGCTAGTGATCCTGATCATGGCCACTCTGCTAGATGGACCCTACAAGAAGATTCATCCGCTTTTTGACAGATCTTTTTTTTTATTATTTCAATGCTACTGGGTGCCTGTCAGTCCACCTTCCTCACCAGAAAAAAAAAATATTGTTGGAACCGGTTTTGTCGCTGATGTTACATAACACTAAAAACATTAATCTAAAAGTGACCTAACATTAGCATTCGTTCGTCGATATGTCGTGTCCCTTCAGAACATTGACAATCATGGCTCTCCACAACTTCCTGTCCTTTGTAGCTCTTAATAAATTTTGTCTTTTTGTTTATCTCTCGTAAACGTTGTTCCACCATCCATTTACTCAAACTCGATAGGTATATTATACGTTGTTTTCCTCTGTTCCTCTTGCCTTCAATCTGTCCTGCGAGTATCAAATTTTCTGTTGTGTATGATACACCTAATTTACATAAGTGGAGTACCGACCATATAAATATGGGTTGGTACCGGAAGACGGGGGAAGATTAAGAGATCGAATCCAGAGACTCTGCCCGACTGCGATTTAGTCAACCCATTATGCAGGAACAGTCTTCCCAAGAATATACCAAAACTAACTGTAAATATTGTGTACCCTTTCCTTGTTTCAATACATTTTGTTAACGTACATTTTGTGTTGTATTATTATTATTCCATGCTTATCCAAGTTTCAACATTTTCCAAGCCCTCTTTCCTCATTATTTTAAATCTCTTTTCCTGGTGTTAATTATAAGTGTTCTTTTTTGTTTCCATTTTCTCTAATACTTCCTCGTTACTTACATGTTTGGTCCATGGTATCCTCAGCATCCTTCTGTAGAAGCACATTTCTGTTGCTTCAAATCTCTTCTTCATCTGTGAGGATATTGTTCA